TCATCTGGTTTAGAGCATCTTTATAACATCCACAGTGTTCTTTGATGCTGCCAAGTGTAATGAATTTCTTTCCTCTCTGTCTACTGAATAGATATCTATATTCTGGTCTAAGAGCGTCTTTATAACATCCACAGTGTTCTTTGATGCTGCCAAGTGTAATGCATTTTCCTCCTCTCTGTCTACTGTATAGATATCTATATTCTGGTTTAAGAGCATCTTTATAACACCCACAGTGTTCTTTGATGTTGCCAAGTGTAATGCATTTTCCTCCTCTCTGTCTACTGCATAGATATCTATATTCTGGTCTAAGAGCATCTTTATAACATCCACAGTGTTTTTTGATGCTGCCAAGTGTAATGCATTTCCCTCCTCTGTGTCTACTGCATAGATATCTATATTATGGTTTACGAGTATCTTTACAACATTCATAGTGGGGAAAATTTCCCCATATCCAACTAACTAAGGTGATGTTAATTGTGGATGTTGGTATGGGTAAAAATAATCTTCTATTCATAATTCTATAATCTGTAACAATTGCCCAAAACTAGTATCAACATTGAACCTAAGCAAGATGAAGAATAAACTAAGACCCCAACATGCAACTGAGTAGTGACATAAAAAAACAAGAACAGCAAATGCTATGTCCTAAATACAGTCTAATGCCTAAGCATTAAACATGCTATACATTAACCACTGAACACCAAAATCACTTTTCACAAATAAACTTGCATCCCTTTTCCATATTTTTGATCATGACCTATAGTGATAAATTAAATGCATACAAAGGCACAACATTTTACTGGAAAAATTTCAAGTTTAATTCCAGTTCAATGAAATTATGTCTTTTTATTAAATTATTATTTCAAATATCTGACATGTTATAATGTTGAATTGATTAAATATAACAAAAATCAGGAAATCATTTACTTATATTGCATCCGTTTATTAACAATACAGTTTTATTATTCAACATCAGAAATATGCTGATCGATATTTATAAAAAAACATCTGCTCCAACTGAGGATATGTGATCTGAAATTTGATCAAACATACCGGAATCTATTGTAAAAGTGACCTTCTATTAAGTGCAATTTAGTGTTTTATGTTCCTAATGGTGATGTCATTATAATCTGGAAGCAAACAGGACCTTGTGTAGACTCAGAGTATATCATTTTGGTATTGTAATGCAAGAGCAGAGTGTACATTCAGCTGGATTTGTGGGATTCCTACTTCAAATATCACTTACCATTCTCTAGCTTGGGCAACCATAAAATAATTACTGTTTTGCATGTCAAAAACCTGATTTTTTGACCCAATAGTCATTGAGGGAGTATGATATAAACTCGTTAATATAAACTCATTATAATGCAGGTGCTTGACATTTAGTAGGAAGGCAATATTTTACAGCAAGATTGTTTGTGATGTGTGTCCTGTACTCGTTTCGTATTACTGAATTGGCAATCTGATTTCTCACAAACGATATATTGCTTGCACTTGCAGTTATATCTAGAAACAGAAATTAATGAGCATATGCTGAATGCTTGGACTGTGCATTCGTTTTGCTTCACATCACTGTTACAACTCTAGGTCTTGTTTGATTAACAATTCTTTAGCACCTAACTGTTGCTTTTTACAGTTTGTGGCAAATTACATTTTTACAGTTTGTGGCAAATTACATTTTTACAGGGCAATACATGTTGTTATAATACTGATGCTGACAGAAATTCAACAAACTAGAGCTTCAGTCCATTTGATTTTATTTGATTTACCTTATTATTCAAACTAACCTAGTATTAAAATTTGATATGATATGATTGATATTTTGTCATTCAGTGAATTATGAGGCCCAAATAGTTTTTCAGTCCTGGATACTCATGATCGTCTTTTCCCTTTTAACCATGTGGTAATGGTAAAAATATACTGGGGTAATATAAAATGTATATAATTTCTGAAATTGAATAAACTCTTCTTTTTTTATTCACTGAAGCGTAACAGTATGGTTTTGAGAATGAATAACATACTTTTATGATTGCCTGTTTCTAAATTTCAAAGAATAAACTTAATGTATCTGAACTATTTTTTAATTAGGATTCTCAATTTTATGCATATTGCCCACTTTCATACCTAGAAGGCAGTGTTTCCATGGAAATAAGGTTCTCATTTCCTTTTTGTCTTTTTAATATTCAGTGCAACCTTTCAATCTGCTGAATATTAGAAATTTGTAGTGCTTTTAAAATTTCCTCATTATTTGCTCGTTAACTGCACCTATCCCTAGCTGAGTTTGCCTCCAGAATGAAGCAGTTTGGTAATAAAGACGTTATGTAAAGACAACTTCGATAAATCTACTTTTAAATTAACTTGTCAGTTGTTGTTATGTACTGAGATACACATCAGTAATGATTACAACCAAATACATCAAGATGATGGTAGATAACACGCACACTATTGGGGGAAAATCTGAAATTATCTTATGTCCTGTCTAGGAAACCTCTCTTATTTAGATCTGTACTAATTTTCCTTGCACCTGCCAGTGATATATATTACAGGTGTATTAAAATGTAGTCATATCTTGACACAATTTTATTCACACAGTACCTGTTTCTTTTTCTCCATATCTGCAGTTTGGAAAATCTGTGGTTTCATCAGTGGTTGCTGCTCAGCATTGTGTTAAATCCCTTGCGATGTATACAATGCATGTAAAATATAGCACAAACACATCGGGGGGTGTTGAAAACTTAAACTAAATATTAAGTATCTTCTTTCAACTATTTGAGACTACCCCTTAATTGGTACCGTGTAGCTGATCAATATTCCCCTCAGGTATTTTACATGTGTATCATGACAAACCACTTGGTTTCTTCATCATGTCTCATCAATTGCTTTTATGAGGTTCTTTTAAAAGTAAACAGTTTTACTGGATTGCCAGCGGGTAGGATCATCCCTGTGTGTGTAGTGATGTTGATGATGTTACTGTAACTGTGTATTTAAGTGACAAGTATGATAACACTGTTATGATAATATTATCAAGCAGGTTTTGAAGGCTGTATGTGTGCTTCTACAGATGCCGATATTACATACAGTCCACTGCTGAACAGTGAATGTAAATTTGATTTTAAATTGCATATTTGTTATCAAGTCAGCATGCATGCAAATCATCTCATCAGAAAAATGTGAAATGTTTGTTTTTTTCATTCACATAACTAGCAATTTGTATTGAGCAAATAAGCTAGTTGTTACTTGTGATAAATTTAATAATACAGGTAATTTTTTACCAAATGTACTATATATGCATGTATATTCCTTTAAAATGAATATATCATTATATGTTAAAATGAATAAGTTTGATGGCCTGCAGTTTTCTCATTGTGGTCGACGCCTTCGGTTTTCCCAGTGATGACCATTATCCATGTAAAAACAAGCATGGTGGTTATTTTTTCGCCACTATATCCTTATAAATTCACTTGTCACTTCAGTCTGGATATTGTACCTCAATTCAGCAAGCGAATTCTCTTTCAAAGATTTACATTTACCCGCCTGATCCCGATTTTTGGTCAAACATTTCTGATAAGCGGTAGTTGCTGTATTAGAGATGCGTATACTGTATCAATAAAATATGATGAAATGTGACTAGAAACAACAACAACAACCCCCTCCCATCTGAGTAACTTTTCGTGGCTATATAAGTTAAAATTACCATTGTTTCTAAGCCTGTTAATGTGTTGAGGCATACAAGCACAGTAGTATATGTTGCTACATTGTAGCATCATGGTTGATGACTAAAGTATATTTTTCAGTCACTCAAAGCATATAGTATCATATATATTTTTATCGTTAATCTTAAGGTAAGATTTAGTCTACCTCGCTGTTTGCAAAATTTTCATCAGTGGTCACAGAGTGATATTTAGAAAAAGTTAGAAATAAATACTAGCATCTGTCAATTAATCAAAACGTAGTTCTTCATCTTCACAGTGGATTAAATGTATTTTAATTTGCATTTTCTAGTGTCACAGGTGTATGTGTGATTTTAATAGAGGTATTAAGAAACTGCCTTCTATCCTAATACCTTGAATGAAGTGAGTGCATCCATCATTTGTAGTGACAACTGAGTCTACTTTTAAAATTATAGTTGATCTGTGATTAGTAGAGTACATGCTCTTTGTATTAATGTACCCTTGCCTTTAAATTCACAGACACCTGAGGTTATATTCTGTGATTTTTCTGGTTAGCATGCTGCTGGCATACTGTAGGTACTGCAACTTGTGGTTATCCCAGCCAGAAATGTTTGATTTAACTTAAGGTAGTTGGCTAAAAACAAATCATCAATTTTTCTTGATTCATACAATATCATGATCACAAACCTGTTTTAAATACTTAATATAAATTTCAATTTAAAACTGAAAGGAGAGGTTTCTCTTAGCCGATTGAATAACATTGGAACATTTTCAAATTGTTCATTGAAGCTAAAGCTGTGACTGATTGACTCTTCTCAATGATTGCTGGTTTGATTTGGCTGCCATTGAAATTTATAAATAAATAAATTAAAAAAAACTACACAAAACATTCATGAAAATGGTGATTTTTGAGCCATTTACTTTTGCTTTCTGTGATAAAAAGGTCTTGCCATATCCCAAAACTTTGTTTTGCTGCAAAATTCTATGTTACTAGATGGATATATTTATGGTTGTCACAAATTATTAGGAAATTTTGATGAGTATTGTTATTTTTTTTTTATTAAATACTACTTTAACAAGGATTTTTTCTGCAGTGTTTTCAGATACGTATTTCTTAAAAACCATGTTTCCCACTAGATGAAAACAATGAAAAGTTGTTTAAATTTGTCAGCCCTTTTAATTTGGTTGAATGCTCATAAACGACCATAACAAGATAGAGCATTCACATGGTTTCACAAAAATTAATATGACTCTGTTTATGTGAACCCCAGTGAAAGTTTCACTTGGCTACAAAATATTGTGAAAATGTGTGCAAGTCAAACCTCTCAGCAAATAAAAGTTTCATGATTCATGAGAGTGGCTCATTCCAGAATCATTAGTCACCTCCACTAGATGCTGCATTGGTTCGATGGAAACAGCTTCTTGATTAAAGGTCTTCTGAGTATTCTCTGGACCATGATTCATTGATACTATATTGGCGCCGTATTAAAAGCACATCTCCAATAGAAGTACATTGCACTGTACTACACTTTGAAATAGCTACATTACTTTAAATATAGCCAGGCATAGGTGATATAATTTTACAAAACATTTATGTAGTCATTCCTATTATAATATGTGCTCTATTGGTAGCACACATAAATAAAGTATATCTATGATCAAAATACACATGTAATAATCTAGCACAGAAAAAATACTATTTTTGGTTTCTGTGTGCTTGTATCAGAGATGCTCATCAATAGAGATAATTTAATGTAG